CCGCCCCGATCCACCGCGGCCTGGCTCACCATTGCCGGTGTCCGAGGGGCACGTTGTGACGGGGTGGCGGGAAGGTAAAGTTCGCCCTGTTGGATGGAATGCAGCGTCTCGAATAATTCGCGGTAACAATCTCTTGAGAGAACACGAGCCACAAAACTACGGTGTTGTCGAACGGAAGGGTTTTGCCTTCGTGTACCACTAAGTCTTGTAACTATAAATCAAACACTGAAACTTTTATTAAGATTCTGTTTTAACACTGTGACAATACCTGGAGGTGTAGGGAGAGATACTGTTTAGTTTAGTGCGTAATGTTAGTCTGGGGCATAAGACTAGGACTGCTCGATTGTTAAAATGAAATTGAAATTCCTGCTGCATGTGCAAAAATGAAACGCTGTGCTAATACACCTTTGGATTTTTTAGAAAACTGCAACGGCTGTTGCCCACTGCAAGAGAGGGAATGGCCTCATTAAAGTTAATGGAAGACCTCTGGAAATGATTGAGCCCAGAACTCTGCAGTATAAAGTAAGCATCCACCTAGCCTCTGCTCTGCATCCCTTTTTATACACGTAGTTGCTTCACAATGGAGACAAGTGCCTTGTTCTGCTGAAAGTACCAAAATTTTTGGTTGCTTACCTAAAATACAAATGCTGTTAGGAAAATTCAGTAAACTGCACTTCTGTGATGGGGGGTTTGCTTAACAGGTTTCACTTAATATGAAGTACTTTTTGCACTTCCTGTCTACTTTCTGAACTAAAATGGGTGACTTAAAAGCTCTCATTTTAAAAAGGTTGTATAGAACTTTATACAGTAGCTGCTGAACAATGCTAACAGAATCTGGAACTATCTAGATAACAATAAATTATAACAAACTGTGAAGAAAACTACCTGCAGACTACTTCAGGTCTTCAGTTTTAATGAACTTGACTTACTTTTTGTATGTAGTTATGGCATTTTAGCTAGACTGTTCTCTTGTTCTTAATTCTCATGTACGTGTGCTTTGCTACTAAGATATTTGAAACTTAAATAAACCAAAGACTTCAGTGTGTATGTCTTATGACAGCACTAGTAGATGCCAGAGAACTCTGTAGGAGGTGTGCTTTACCTGGGTGTGTGCTTTTAAAATCAAGGCTCCGTTTTTCAGAAGATTCAATGACATCACATTTTGTAAAGCTACTACAAGCTCTGATCCTTGTTACAAGTGAATTTTCTTTGTGCTTTGTTTCCCAGCTGCTGGAACCTGTCCTCCTCCTGGGGAAGGAACGGTTTGCTGGTGTTGACATCCGAGTCCGTGTGAAGGGTGGTGGCCACGTAGCACAGATCTACGGTAAGGTTTTGGGTGGGATTGCTGGGATGGGCTGGAGTGGGTAAAGCCACTGTGGTTTGTTGACACTGGCTGGATGCCTGGTGCCCACTGAGCTGCTCTCTCTCTCCTCTCCTTATCTTGATGAGGAGAGGGGAGAAAATAAAATTGAAAAACCTTGTGGGTCAACACGAATGAAGATTAATAAAGTAAAAGTAAAGGCTGTGCACTGAAGCAAGGGAAAACTAAAGGCTTCCATCAGCAGGCAATATTCAGCCACTTCCCGGGAAGTGGGGCCTCAAAACCTGTAGCAGTTGCTCTTCCTTTGGTTTTACTGTGGAGCTGAGATCCTCTGGTATGGAATATCCCTTCTGGTCAGTTTGGGTGTCAGCTGTCCTGGCTATGTTACCTCAAGATCTTGCCCACTCCTAGCCCAGTGGAGATGGAAATATCTTGTAGGCACAGCCTTGATGCAGTGCAAGCACTGCTTGGCTGCAGCCAGAACACAAACCAGATTAGAGCTGTCACAGGAAAATCATCTCAGCCAGACCCAATGCGGCCACGTATTTAAGAAGAGGCTTAAGTTTGCAACAGTGACTTGCCAAACTGTTCTTTCTCCGCTGTGCAAATGTAGTTGTTTATATTTTTATGTGCAAAGCTGCAACAGAATAAGCTGAGTGAAGCAAAATGAAGTTTTGATGAAATGCATGGGAGCTACCTGTACATTGTGACAGGCTTATTTAAAGGCAGCTGAGCACAAGGATTTTAGGAGGGGTTTACCATTAGAAATGATATTCTTAGTTGTATATTTCCATGTTGCTCAGAAGCATCTTTCCAGTATGAGCAAAGCTAGGCAGTTTTCTCCTTGCAGGAAAGGCTGGGAATATATTTATATTAGCTGCTCTTAAGAGTTCATCTTTACAAAAGATAGATTTGTTCTGCTCTTAATTTGAATGTAGTTAGTGAAGTGGAGCTGAGGCTGCGCAAAAAACAGGCGAATTTCAGGCCTAAACTTGATACCATGTGTTTTTCAGAACATTCGTATTTTCATCAAAATCCTGGTGTTAATATTTTCACAGATAAGTGTAACGACATCCTGACAGTTTCTCCCATTCTCCTGGTTTGAGTTCTGATTACTGTTACGGAGCTAGTTTTTTTGTATTGCCATGTTCTAGCACTCAACACCATCCTCTTGTCCCTTTTGCATCCTTAGTCATCCAACACACAGTTTTGTCTTTGGTGAAAAATATAGACATGTCAGAGAACTGTATTCCTAAGATTTTGAAAGTTGACTGCTTGTAGACAGAAGATGAACCTACATTAGTACTCGAGAGAGAAGGTGATCTGACAGCCCTTGTGCAATATCTTGGCTAGCTGGCAGCTGTCAAATCGACAAATGAACTGTGGGTGGCCTCCTGGCACAGATTTCTTAAGATTTGCCAAAGTAAGGGTCACGTGGACTATGTGGGACGGGATATTAAGGAGAGAAAGGATAATTTGGCAGTGAACAAAATAGCACATTTCTCAGATAACTGGCACTTTGTGTTTGGATTTTAAATAGATTAGCAATTGTTACTGATCTTTTATTTTTGTTTTACAGCTATCCGTCAAGCTATTTCCAAAGCTTTGGTGGCTTACTATCAAAAATGTAAGTAACTTTGATTGTTTTATTAGCTTTAAGTGGAAGTGTATGGCTTTTGGTGGTTTTATTGCAAAAACAATTTGTTCCATGTGAAACTGCTTAAACTAAAGATTTTTTTTTCTCTTTTGAACAGATGTTGATGAAGCTTCCAAGAAAGAGATCAAGGATATTCTAATCCAGTATGATAGGACTCTGCTTGTTGCAGATCCTCGCCGTTGTGAATCCAAGAAATTTGGAGGACCTGGTGCTCGTGCGCGCTACCAGAAGTCTTACCGTTAAAATTGGTCTCTAGTCATATGGCAGTCAATAAACAGAAAGAATTTGATAATTTTCATGTTTCTAAATTGCCTTTTCTTGGGTGGGTAAATAGATTTTTTCACTGTGTGTTAAGATTGATACACAAAGGGATTTGTGTTACAGTAGTATCAGAGGGTCGATGGCAGTTCTTTTTTTATCCTTTCATAGTAATTCTGATAGATAGGGTTTTAGGAGAAAAGAAAATCTTTCTTCTGTTGAGGAATGTGTGGTTATTCAAACATAAAGAAGGCTCACATCCTGGATTCTGCAGGCACATGGAACAACACAGTGGTTCATGGACCATTTCAGTCTTTACCCTTCTGGTAGTTCACGTCGAAACAAAAATAATTACGGGGGCAGGGGAGGGAGGTGTCTTGAGCTCTTGCATTACCAGATAATGCAGAGATTGAATAGTTCTGGACTAGTACATCTAAATGTAGGAAACTTAAAATACTTACAGTGTTTTGCAAATATAGATCAAGGATTTTGTGTTTTAAGATTAGGTCTTCAACCATATGTTCACACAAGACAAGCCAAGAGGGCTGACTCCTAATACTATGAGCTAGGTGAGGCAGTTTGAAAGCCTTGGAGGAAGAAAGGGTGAAAAAAGTGAGTTGGAAAGTAATTTTCAAAAATTTGGGTACAGGATGTGCATATCAAGTGTAGAAGTTTCAGATCCTGTCCTTTTACCCAAGGACAAAAAATAAACTGAGTAAATATGGCAGGGGCCAACAGGAGTTTTACAAAGACTCATTCTGTCCTTTGGAAGAGATGCAAGTAATGGAATGAGGCTGTGGGTACAAACTGATCCAACCAGTGTGAGTACAGCCCTGAGCTGCTGTTTCATGTGTTTGTAAACCAGTTTGGAGTGGAGCTGGAAGAAATGCTGGAGATTAGGACACTTGAGAGCCCAGCTACTGCTGTATTGCTCTCCAAGCCTGGTATTTTAATGTCTGCTTGTGTGGCATTACTGGAATTGTCATAGGAGCACCTTGGCTTGAGATTTTTAAATGTTGGGCTTTTCTCTTAACATGTTATTCTAATTTGCTTAATGGGAAATGTTTTTTCAGTGTACTCAGTCAATATAAACCAGCTTCCCCTGTGTGTTGGGGAATTGGAATGAATAGTAAAATCCACCCTTTTGCTCTAGTTTAATATTAAGAGATGGTTACATCTTTTTATTAATGTTAAGCATTTTTCATGAGCTCTGCTTTTTTGGTAGAAGAGTATTAAAGGTATCCTCACAGTTACTGAAGAGTTAAATGTGTGGCAAAAAAAATTCCTTCTAAAAAAATTCTGCATCAATCTCCCGATTTTAGCTGTCAGTTTCTGCCACAAAGTAACTGCATTCCATGATAGAAATAGAAATGCAATGCTTGCATTCAAACCTCTCATGCTCCTGTTGAAGCGGAGGAGACTGTTGTATGTTCTATCACCAATTTACATACCAGAACTATTTGGTTTTACACAAAGCAAATGGGACACTCCATCCCAGACTCCTGTCTGGCAAGATGCATGGTCTGCTTTCCTCAGGCTCCCTTTCTTGGGCTGCTGAAAACTGCCATGCTCAGCCTCCTGGCTCGGTTTTCCAAAGAAAAGATGCTATGCAGAGTGAACTTTGAGTTTGATATCTTGAATTCCTATGAGTTTTGTGAAAACTTGTGTCTTCATGTTAATTAGCTTCAGCTGAGGGAAAATAAAGGCTCTAGTTTGGCTGTGTGACTGAAAAGCAATGGCTTGCTCATTGCTTAGGAGATGCTTCCTGGCCTGCCAGTTGGCACATACATACCCTATGCTGTGGCTTGTCCAAAACTGATTCTTGTCTGGCTGTTAGAGCTGTGGGATGGAGGGGAAAAGAGATGAAGCAAAGTTGTGGTGGTGGGAAACCTAATGAGGCAGGGGGAGATGGAATACCTGATGACAGTAACCTTAGGGGTGGATTTCACAGTTATGAGGAAGCCTGATGAACATTTTCTGCTCACAGAACAGCTTGTAACAATTGGGGATTATTGTTTTGCTGGTCTTTTGTGGAAAGGCTGAAAATAAAACTTGCATTGCTACTAATATATTCAGAGATGATATCTGCATGCTGTTTCTTCAACCAGAAGACTCTTAACATAAGAAAAATGCTTTCTGAACGGAACTCTGATCCTATAAAAATTCCCCATTAATCCTGCAGAGTGATGTCATTCCCACACGCTTTCTAAATGAGAAATGTTTGTAGAGCTGGACAGTCTGCCTGGATGGCTGAAGATTTTTATTCTGAGAGGTTGCTCCCTGACCACCCACTAGAGGGCTTAACTTCATTGGGAAACTGTAACCGCTGTTAAGTTTGAAGGTGTTTGTAAAAATGTCTCCTTTCCTCCTGTCCTGATTCTTCAGGGATGGTAATCAAGCACTTGTCATTGAGCATCCACTCTGGCCAGAGAAACACATCCCAGGAGAAATTGTAAGAGTTTGATCTTCAAACCATTAGGAAGGTCCTTGAACAGCTGGGGAGGTGGGGGAGGTGGTTCTCAGAAAAGAGGAAATGCCCCTCACCTCGTATCATTTGGCTTTTTCATTAGTTTCACCAATGATAATCCTTAGGAAGATCATCTGTGCACAACAAAATTGAATTAACAACAAAATGGAATTCTTCATTGCAAATACCATGTTTTGTTAACAATGACAGTGGACCTCCTTTCAAACCAGGGTGAGCTTGCCAGCCCATGGCACAGAAGGCAGTTATTTCCTTATCCATTGTTTATAATCCTGATGAACCTTGTGATCTGTATATAAATTTAAGCCCTCTTAAACCATTATGTTGGAAAATGTGGAGCAAATTTATTTTGACTTCAATGTACAAATATATTACCGCATAAATGTTTAAATTTTATTTTTGAAGAAAAAATCTGTAATTTAAAAATTTAACACTGGCATTTTTAAAGTGGGAGAAGTGTGTTCTGTATTGTGATTTTTTTCTTACAAAAGCAATTATTTTCTAGTGCATTTTTTTCAAGTTTTGCAGAAGTGCCAGTCAGTTAGTATTCTAATATTTGTGTAGATATTAAGTGCTGTTGACTTGATATAATTTGGTTTGATTTTTTAATCTCTTTCTTAATATAGTCCTCTGAGTTACAGTTCAGAGTACTTGGTTGAATAATTCTTTTTCCTTAGCTGACATCCTTAATGTGCTTGGGACTTTGCTGTTTCCTGCCTTGCCTTGGGCTGAGATGTCTAAACTTTATGAAGCCTATTGCTTTAACTCTTACAAAGTTCCTTTGCAGATAATAAGGCTTGGCCTATCTTTAAATATTAAAAAAGTTAAACAACTGTGAAATACTACATATACCAACTTTGCTATAGAAAAATCGTTAAAAGAAATCCCAAAACCAAACAAAACTCACATAAATGCTATTTTCGATAGCTTTTTTTTCTATTAAACCAAAAGAGTTAATTTCTATTAATATTACAATAATTTAGTTGTGAAACTGCATATGAAGCATTGTGAGAAATACACTCTTGAGAAAGTGAGGAATCCCAGATGAGATTTCTCAAAGGAGCTTGAGTTTCCAAGAGTTTCTAAACCAGACTTAGCTTGACAGTAAGATAACTATCAGCAAGAGAGACTGGTAATGGAATTTGGAAGATGTAATGCTTGGTTTCATGTCATATTGACAGCAGTCTTGAGAATAGATTTATGAGATGGTGAAAGTCTATTTCCTATAAGTTCTCACATAAGAGTGAAAAGTCTGTGAGTGACTATATCAATGTTTCCATATGGCCTAGGAATTTACTTTTTTTGCTTCTGTTTGTGGTGTGGAGTGGTTTTGGATCACATACTGCAGGTGCAACTGAGCTGAGAGATGCAGTCCAGCTGCAGACAAACAGCCAATCCACAGGAACAGACCATAGCTACTCCCATAGAGGTAAAAACAAAGCAAAAACTCTCTTGAAATGCAACTACGGGAATGTCAGCTTCTCAAATCCAATAGTTCTTAAAAACAAAATAGTTCTTAAATACTCCAGACGGGGCAAAGTGTTACGCATCAGTTTCCAATAAGTACCCTTGTGCCATCGGCGATCCCAAACCTTCACCAGTGCTGTTGGCTGCTGTGTGGACACAGGGTTTTGTTTTTGTCCATGCTTGGAGAGGCTGAGTTTTCATTTGCTTTCATTTGCGTGTCCATCTGGGGAGCAGGAAAGAGAAAGGGCTAGAAGGAAGGATGGGAGAACTTTTTACTCCAAAGAAGTCATCAACTTCTAAAATTCTTTTGGGTCTAACCCCCCCTTCTGTAGCATGCTCAGGAGGTCTCACAAAGCACCTCCTAGGAAAAAAGGAGGGTAGACAAAAGATAGGCTTTGCAAAATAAAAGTATGAGCAACAATTTTGAATAGCATTATAAGTGTCTTTAAAGCTGTGCTTTCTGAAGATTCGGTTTACATTATGGTAAAGCAGGTAAGATATTTTTATTTTAAAACATGGTACCTTTTAATTTTGGTAAAATTATGATTTTATTTTAATGAAAATTAGAAATTAAACCCTTTGGCCCTGTTGACTTCTTTCTCCTTTTTCCTAATGTGAAGTGTTCATAACATGATTTATTAAGACCAAAATATAATTATCCTCTGAGAAGCCTTCTTTTGTGCTATAAGCAAACAATACCCAGAAAGGCATCCAGAATATTCTTAAAAAGCTGGATGTATTATTTAATAGAAGTTCATCTCTCTCCTTTCAGGACAGAGAAAAAACATTACTATGTTAATATGTAAAGCCATGTAGTTATAATTATACGGTGGTATTATTTCAGGGTCTTGCAAAAAAATGTTGCTGTACTGAGGAGTAGAGAATAGCCCTCAGCTCAAGCCTCAATGCACACAAAGGTGTGTGACGACAGAAGGATCTCTTGAACCACCATGACATGGCAACGTTTCTGTCATTGTCTGCTGTGTTATAAAGGGCCAATTCAACTCAACAGGGGAGAAATACTCGCAGGTCTGGTGGAAGTGTAACTAATACAGACTGTGCTGAGGAGCTACCATGCATTGCTAA